ATCTATCTATCTATCTATCTATCTATCTATCTATCTATCTATCTATCTATCTATCTATCTAGTATATCTATCATCTCGTGTTGAATACTTAAGAAAAAGTTTATTTATGTATTTATTAGATGCTTGGTCATGGTGATGATGTTGTAGAAGATTTCAGGATTTTCTTCATTTGAATTGCCTTTTCCCTGAGTGAAAATAACTGTATGTGTGTCATGACACCATGAAAACTGCTCTCTTGTTATTGCTGATGAATAGATGGGCTACGAGGGAAGAGAAAAACAGCTATCAATCTTGAAAGTGCCTAGGTGGTTAGCCATTTCTCTTGGGCTTATGCATCTTTGCAATCTTGATTCATGGGTTGCCCTTGCTCCGACAGCCTGTCAGCCTTACAGCCTGTTAAACTCTTAACGTAACTGCAGTCCTTTGATCTAAATTCCTTCTGAATTATTTCACCACTTGCTACAGCTTCCGACCAAGGTTTCATATTGCCCTCCTGGAGGCACAAGAGATCGATGAATGAAGGAGACACATGGGGAACATACTTACCTTCCCACTCAGCAGGACTTGGTGGGTGGGGGAAATCCTGGGAAAGAAATCCCTACCGATCTCCTGGGGGAATTGCTAATTTGCCTTACTTCCATGAAAAGATGATGATGGCTTCCACAGAGACAGCCACAACTTACAGCTGTCACTAAGCTCAGGAGGGTCCTTTCCTTCAGACATTTGTGAGGAATATCTATTCAGTTTGAGCAATAACTTCTAGAACTAGGTGCTGTTTAAAGAGCCATTGAAATTAAAAAGGAAGAGTGGGGAAGGACAGAAGGATTTGTGATACACACAATCATGGATATATAGGGACTGTTACCAGTATTCAAGTCTCGCATGCTTGAGATTATGAACCAGTGGTGGGTTGCAGGCGGTACGCCCCAGTACGCACGTATCGGAGCCAGCCCGGAGCATCAGATACCGTTCTGGTACGGTGCTCTGGAGGGCCCATCCACCCGCCCAAGCTCCTTACCAGAGTTTAAAGGCTTTTGCGCTTTTGAGCAGGTGCATGGCGCATACAGCGGCTGCGCGATGCTCTGCGGAGCAGCTGGAGTGTCATAGAGGCGCTTGAATGCAGGCGCGTGCTGCACGCGTCCATGAGGGCACCGCTGGCCCCGTTCCAACCGTACTGGTTGGAATAGGATTTGAAACCCACCACTGTTATGAACCATACAGAGGGTTAAACTGTTAGGGCATGTAAACAATAGATTGCAATAGATTGCTTCACACATTGCTGGAATCACAACTACTTTAGAAAATGTACTGCAGGTATTTTCAAGCTGAAGTCAAAATGCTCTCTCTGTTTTGGGTAGTAAATATTACAAAAGGAAACCATTTTGCCAAATTTCTCCATGGAAGATGTTTACTCCAACTCTTTCTATCAGAGACATTGCTTCTTTCATTTTTCTCATTTTTTAAAATGAGTGAAATGGTGAAAACAGCCATTCTTGTGTCAGGAGCAATCTGACCATTTGATTTCTTCCACAGAGTTCTAGACTTAGCCTCATGCCAGGACATGGTAGAAAGTAAAGAGAAGTTCATCTCTTAGTGACAAATACATAGAACAAAAATCTACAAAACGGCCTTTTCTAGAGGAATTTCTTCAGGGTATTCTTTGGGGAGGGAGGGCGCATGTATTGAGAAATCTCAGCTCAGCTCTAGATTCAAGTTCATGCTTTTCTCGAGCATGGCCTAATCCAGCCTTCCTCAGCTATGTTGGACTGCAATTCCTATTATCCACATGGCTCAGTCTTCAGTGTGAGGAAGGCTGTTCTGTTTCACACTGGTTGAATTGCCTTTTAAGACATTGTTAGACACAAAGGAACCTTCCACAACAATGGCCCTTTTTCTTTATATGTATTTTGGCAAAAACCTGACTGCTGGAAAATATTGTTAAGATTTTTTTAAAAAGAAAAATGAATGGAGGGTTGTTACAATCTACAAATTATGAAGAGAATATATAATTCCCAAGACTGCATCTTTGTCCAGCTTGCCTCACTGTCTCTATGGCAGGTAACATTTAGCATCTTTATGCTTCCTCATGTCTCAAAGTACTCATTTTGGTTAAACTCAGTCCTTTTGTAGCTCTTTCCTAAAATAGAGTATTGACTAGAAAAACACAAACTGCTTAGGTTTAGTGATAATTATAAAGTCACTGTTCTTCTCAGACTCAGAAGAACCCCCCCTCCCAATCTGTATTCATTTTCTCTCTTGACTTTTCTATCGTTCAATATAGGGTCATGAGCCAATTTACCTAAACCCCTTTAGAGAATGAATTTCATCTGGGCTGATCTGCAACGATTCCCTTCTTTGCTTCCCGCAACCTTACTCTGCAAATTGGATCTTTTGGTAACTGCTTTTCTTCTGCATTTGTAGAGGGGGTGGGGAGAATGGGGACTAATTATGGCCTGCCGATTAGGAGTGGCTGTGCTACAAATGATATGAAGTACCTTAACAAAAGCAAGGAATGTACACCCATTTGCTTTTCCATCTATTATCTTTTGCGGTACACCTGGCTGGATGTTTACTTAATGACACTGCAGAAAGATGACCCTGAGTTTAGGGTTCTTCTCTTAAACATTATGGAGGGGCCAACTCATGCTCACAAGCTCAGGTAACAGAGCCCCAGTGCTGTAAAAAAAGGAAAGAAAAGCAGATTGTAGAAGGAGGTTTTGAAACAGAATAATTGGGACTTTCAGTTCTGGACTGCAAAGATTCTATTGGCCAGTAGATAACAACAAAGAAATATGGAAAACATTCATATAGTTACTGGTTATCTGAATTGTTGAAGCCTAATTCTAGTATCCATAGTCAAAAATGGTTTTTTCCCTCCACTTCAGTCTGCAATAACAAAAATATACTTCACTAGGGATTTTGATTATTAGTAGAATGAATGAATAAAGTAGACATGGAGATGAGCTAAATTGCTTTCTAACATCACCCACATATATACATGCATAAACCAATCCCTCTGTTTCCTGTGAACAGATAATTAGAAGAATTCCAAAAAAAACCAAGCTTTGTAAAAACTTGCTTTGAACCACAGAAAGGATAGCATCCATGATGGAGAAGTACATTTGGAGTAGAGAAATTGCTTACATCCCCAACCACTGTTAAGCTACCCTGTTTTCCCAAAAATAAGACCTCCCCAGATAATATGCCCAATCGGGCTTTTGAAAGCATGCACTGAAATAAGACCTCCCCCCACCAAATAAGCCTTCTCTCCAAAATAAGCCTTCCCCAAAAATATTTAAACGCATGCGCAGCCAGTCCTTGCCATTTCCTCTGGTTGCTTGCCATGCAAACAATACAAGGTGAGAAGGCAAAAACAGAGGGGGAAGGGAGGGAGGAACATGCCCCACACATCCCACCTGCCTTACCTAAATGCTGCTCCTGCAACCCTAGCCACAGCACCCCTTCTGTCACACTAATGGTTGCTGCAAAAAGAGCAGCAGGCACAGTGTCGCACCTCACTGCCGCTGCAGCACAACACAGCAGCAGCCATGAAGTGACCACGCTCGTACCCACCTGCACCTCAAAAATAATAAGACCTCCCTGAAAATAAGGCTATGCACTTATTTTAGGGGTCAAAAGAAAATATTTCAGGGAAACATAGTACTAGCCACTACCAATCGTAATGTGGAGAAGACTATATGTTGTCAGAAGCATCATGACAGCAACCAGGATGATGATAATATATAGATGACAGACATAGTCTTTCCAATGGAAAAATGTTTCTATAAACTGATGTTTGGTATATCAGCAAGTGTACAATATCACCCCAATACAGCTAGATAGTGTCCTTTTAGACTTCCAAGCATTAATGTTTTCATACCTGCCATGGAAGAAAATCAACACTGAAAGCGCAAGTGAAAATATGAATCAGTTCTGAAATTATCATGATGGAGGGTTTTGGTGAATGCAGCAGTGGGACATATACTGTATTTTCACTGAACACTTGATAAAGTTCAAAATATATGCCAACCTTTCATCTCATTGTTATTTCGATGCCTAGAGGGATGTGACTCTTCAGCGGCATGTAAAACCTTTGAAGGCCAAACTGCACAAGACTTTTAGATCTTTCATTGAAGTTATAACATGTCTGTTTTAGTACTTTTACTTCAAATCAGCAGCTGGGATCTCTCATTCAGATGGAATTAGCAGTAAGGTTGAGGGAAAATAGTTCCCCACTTGCAATTGTGCTATGTAATAAAAAAAATGATCAGAAGAAAAATTAATTTCAAAATTAGTAATATCTCGTTAAGTAGTATTTTTGCAGTCAAGTCAAACTATAACAGAAAATACTTTAAAAACTCATTGTAGCTTGGCTCTCAATGGATCCATTTTTGAAAAAAAATGAACTTTTGATACCAGATTCAAACTTTATATTGCAGTATTTGAGGGGCTGCCACAAAGAAGAGGTCAAATTATTCTCCAAAGCACTAGAGGACAGGACAAGAAGCAATGGTTGGAAACTAATCAAAGAGAGAAGCAACATGGAATTAAGGAGNCACTTTCCTTTTTTTAATTTAATTGACTTCCCTACTTTATAAATCACCATTATTGTGGAACTGGGAGGCGGTTAGAAAATTTTACTACTAACAAGAGATACAAAAGTGGGCGGTAGGTATAAAAAGGTTGACTACCCCTGGTTTACATTAAAGCTGCGGAGGTTGACCCAGGCAAAACAGCAAGAATAAAATAAGCAAGCTCTGATCAATTTCATTTTCCTTTCTGCAACAGACAAGCTGCATACAAAATATCAGTCTGCCTGGAATTTTTATTTCATGTCCTTTTTCCATAAAATAGGAAGGAAAACATTTTATGGAGTCCTTGGTGCTCTCTGAGCGTGGTTGTTTGCTTGCAGATGTTTCAACAGCCAACTAGATAACATCATCAGTGCAAGTGAGTATAGGGTTTGCTTCCTGTTTATATACAGTAGCCTATCCTGCTGTTTTTGGGGGGGGAGTGTGTTTAGTGTTGGGTGTAAATAGCCTTAACCATTTTCTGTAATTCGAAAGTACACTGTTACTCTGTTCTTCATTTATTACCTGACTATTTATCCATATTTATAAAGATTCTATTTAACTTCCAATAGCATTATGACAATTATCAAATCTGGGGATGGAAGTTCTTCAACCTTTGTCATTTTACAGTTGTACTTCACTCTGTGGCACTACAGAACCATTGTCGACAAATTTTGACTTGGAATTCTATCCAATCCAGTCCTGTTTTAACTAGCTGGTTTGCCGTACTATGGCACCATGCTCATAAAAGCATTTCATGAAACTTTTAACTGTATACTCTTCGATACAGGTGCTGCTCTCTATGAATAGGAAAGCTCCCTCTGATTCAAATTGATTATTTGAATCAGATTATTAACCTGATTATTTTCTGTACTGATAAAAACAAAAAAAAGCAGAAATACTAGACAATTTACTGAGATGCATCAGTGTTGTAATGAGCTGGTACATGTCAACATCCTTTAAAATTTAGAAGATCGCTTATACTTACATGCCTCCAAAATCCACATAGAGCCAGCGCTGCAGAAGTTCATAAGTCACTAAAGTAACACCAAATTGGGGTGAGGATCTGAACACTCGGGCTGTTGGGAAAAACAAAAAAAGTTCAATGTAACACACATATACCGAAAACATTATTCCCCTCTTTCATGACCACTGTTATGGAAAGCATAAAAAGAACAAGAAATAACAAGCAGAATAAAGATAACAGAGGAGAGAGGAGGAAAGTTAAATTTAGTTTACATGACCACTGTTCACAAATACCCCTCCATAGTTTTTGGTACTTGAAACCACAGTTGCTTTCACCATATCCATAAACCACTTCATGAATTGTTTTTTGTCCTTTCAATTTCTACTTCTGTTGTTTGGTATGTGTGGATTAATATCAGATTTTTATTATTTATGAGGTTTTTATTGTTTTGTTTTTTTATGAGTTTTAATCCTCTGCTGAGATAGGCAGATGTATTAATGCCTTAATTAATTAATGACATTCAACTTTCTCTCTTAATAAAAACAGTAGTAATCAATCAGCTTCTATGCGTATTGGCCAGCATTCAAGCACAATTAAAGCCAAATTTTAACCTAAATCTCTTTATGGTGTTCTGTGAAAACCAGAATTTCTAAATCTATCCTGCAAATTCGTCATCTTGTTGTCCTCATTCCCACCAATGAGGCTGTACATATGAAGATGGCTCTGAAGTTGCCAGAGGTGGAAACAGCTGCAAGACTGGATCCATCACTCTCACAATTTTAATACCATTCATTCATATACGTTTCTCTACTATTAGTAGACGTTTCTCTACTGGTCAAGATGTGAAATCCTTTTCTTGCCTGCAGCTCCCTTCCAAAAGGCAGAAGGTCCTTCTTCCCGAAGTATCTTCACAAAGCAATCAATAACTCCATTGTAGGTTGTCTGACCAGCACGAGCAGCCACTTGCAGTCTTGTCTTGATGACATCAGCAGGAGTCACCAAAGAAGCCGCAGGCACACCTGTGGGAGAAAAGGTCTTCAGCTGAGTCTCAGTACTACCAAAAGTGAGCAATAGTGCCTAGAAATACCTCCGGGAGAGGTTTTAGAAGAATAGCTTCAGGGTTTCATTCAGAGCTGTGACAAAGGAGGAGCTCCCCATAATTTTGAATAACACTGACAGGTTTTAAATAGCACTGTACAGGTAGTCCTTGACTTACAACAGGTCACTTAATGACCGTTCAAACTTACAACATTGAAATAAGTGACCTAATGACTGTTTTTCACATTTACAACCGTTTACAGCACTCCCAAGATCATTTGATTCAGATGCTCTACAGCTGACTCATGACGGTTGCAGTGCCCCGGAATGATGTGGCTTTCTGACAAGCAAAATCAATAAAGAACCCAGATTCACTTCACAAGCATGTTGCTAACTTAACACCCACACTGATTCACTTCAGTTCAGTCAGTTCAGTTCAGTTTATTAAATTTCTATGCCGCCCTTTTCCCCCGAAGGGGACTCAGGGCGGCTCACAACCCGAACCGGGGAGGGGGATACAG